GAGGGAGGAAGGGAGGGAGGGAGGGAGGGAGGGAGGAAGGAAGGAAGGAAGGAAGGAAGGAAGGAAGGAAGGGAAGGTAGAGACTGTAATAAGTGCTTGTGAAGGCAGGTGTGTAATGTCATCCATTATTGCCCATTATCCTTATAAGCTAACATGGAACCTTTTCTTCACTTTCTCCTTGAAGCACAAATGCAGCTTCATGCAGAAGACAAGACTATTACAACTGACTGTAATTACGTTGCAACTTAAGTGGTTTGCAACTTTAATGGCTTTTTAAAGTCTTAAACATTGAATAAACCCACATATCTGCAAGGATGTTATAGAGCCCAAAGGACTCCAAAGAAAATTCTGAAACTTGCCAACTGAAGTATAGGATAAATATTTAGGGTCTCCCTTTATTCTCCAGAAAATACCAAGATTGTAATGATGATGATAGTCTTGATAATAAACAGCATTTAGTTTCCTTAGGGGAGGGCTTGCGAAATTGATACAGTCCTTTATGATACCATGCTATGGCTGGATTTTCTAGCTACTCTGTATTAGTGATGTCATTCCTTTTTTCATCCCACGACCTACCTGTCACTGACACTTACCTGCCCAAGCTTCTCCTCTCCCCTGAAAAGGGGAAGAGCAGAAAAAGATGGTGCGTGATTCCTCTCTGGCAGGAGATCACACCGGCTGCCGGGAGAGGAGAGGGCCTGGGCAGGAAGCAGCCCAGATCTCTCCAGTTAGCAGCTGCTCTGCCTGCCAAAACTCAGCAGCTGTGGGGATGTTTACAGCTGGGGCTGCCGCTGCTTCCCAGAACTCTCCCTCAGACCCCAGTCTGAGAAATCCTATCTGTCCTTCGGTGCCCCTTCAGCTAACGCCAGTTACTTTCTTCTCCTGGACTGTGCAAGTTTCTCCTACCCTGCAACTGCCGCATCTTCCACTTGAACTAGAAGCAATTTACAAGCAAATACCTTATTCCTTTTCTTGAGAGTCATTCTGTACCACCGTTACCACGGTCTTGCCTGTCTTCTCTACCCCTAACTAAAATCATGGAGCACAGAATCAGTCCTGTTACTGTCTGTGTCCAGACCAGAGAAGGGCCTCATCTAACACAGCTTCCTCTGCAGCTTGAAATAGTTCATGGTAGCAGTGCCTGTTGATCTCACAATAGAAGAACCC